TCTCTAGTAATTGTTTAGTTTTCGCTGGGTCTGGTCGGGTTTCTGCGGTGTATGTCATGGTTGGTCTTACTATTGCCTTGTAAATTCTCGATTTGGTTTCGATTTTAATGTTTTTATTTCGCCAAATTGTGTCGCTTAAGCATCCTGCTATTCTTGTTGCCCTTGTTGTTTGCTCTCTGACCTCTGCCTCCACATCACCATAACCCGAGATTTCTATGCCCAAATATTTAAATTTCATTACCTGCTGGATGATTTTGCCTTCAACTTCTAATTTGCATCTTAATGGTGTTTTTGATGTTGTCATGCATTTAGTTTTTTGGGCCGATATTATCATATTAAGTGATTTGGCAGTGCAGTTAAATCGATGTAATAGTCGTTGCAGATCGTCTTCACTTTCAGCCACCAGTACGGCGTCATCAGCGTAGCACAGAATATTGATTTCATGGTCGCCCATTCTGTATCCTCTCAGTAATCGTACATTTCTTATTACTTCGTCCATGATAATGTTGAAGAGAAGGGGACTCAGGGAGTCTCCCTGTCGGATACCTCGGCCCACTGCTATTGGTTCAGTCAGGATCCCATTTATTTTTGCTTCGATCTGGTTTGCTTCATATATATTTACTATCGTTTTGATGAGGTTGTGTGGAGTTTGTCTGTTGTAAAGGAGGTGCAAAACGTCTCTTAATCGCACTCGATCGAACGCTTTCTCCAAATCAATAAAACACATGTATGCCGGTCTGTTGTATTCAATTGATTTTTCTGTTATCTGTCTTATGACAAAAACCGCATCTGTACATGATCTGCCCGATCTGAATCCTTGCTGTTCGTCGGCTAAGGGTGTTAAGTTGTTGATTTTGTTTGCTATAATTTTTGTTGTAAGTTTCAGTGCAGTGCTTAAGAGATTTATACCTCTGTAGTTTGAGGGTACTTTCTTATCTCCCTTTTTGAACATAAGGATAGTGATGCTAGTTCGCCAGTCATCGGGTATTCTATGTTGGTAGAGAATTTTCCGAGTGAGGGATGTTAGCTGCTGTGCAAGACACGGGCCACCATATTTAAGTAACTCGTTTGGGATACCATCTTTACCTGGACTTTTCCTGTTTTTTAGTTTTTGAAGAGCTGCAGCTACGTCGGCTACCTCAATTTCTGCGTTGCGATTCGTCACTATTTCGGGTGTATTCAGTTCAATCTCAGGTTTCTCTGGTTCATACAATTCGGTTAGGTAGTTAACCCAGGTTTCCTTTGTTATCTGATTTGTTTCGACTAGTTCGTTCACTTCCTTTCTTTGGGTTCTAATAAATCGCCAAATTTGCTTTTGGAGTCCATAGAAGTCTTCCTCCATTCGCTTTGAAAAAATTTCCCAGTGATGGTCCTTTGTTCGTCTTACTAAGTAAGACAAAATATTACATTCCTTAATATTTTTGAAAGGAAAATCAAATTATGACGTTTGAAAGTAAATATGTCAATCATACTAAATACGTAACATAAAGGGCCCTCGCTATCGCCCACCATGAAGTCGACGACCCCACCAAATCTTCATACGGGCATGTACCTTCTAATTACGTCATTAGTTTTCACGTGTCAGCGGCGTACCTATTTCGAGAAAGTAAAATAGGGTAGCCTGCATAGAACAGTTCGGTGGTAAGTGAAACTCTGTGTTGACGCAGAGGAAGCTCACCGAAAGGGGAGACAAAAATAATCGGCATAAATCAAGCGACAGAACGGTTTTAGACAAACCGGCCCCCTGTTGAAACCGAACGGCAATAAAAATAGTTTTATGGGGATTTATTGACGATCGGAAACGGACAAATTTACCTCGGGGTAATCCTGCATAGTTTGTTTTTTTTTTATACGAGGGGAGGAGCGAAAGAATCACAAAACCTCACTAACGATTATAAGTAGAGAGGAGTTAATAAAATTAAAAATAGTGCGTTGTCTAGCCTAGATTTCTTGGCAAAGATCCAAGTTGCAGAGGGCAATGGTCTAATAATTTTTTTTTAATCGAATGTCAAAAAATTTAACATAAAACTTTAGCCCGAAGTATTAAAATTATTTCTTTATATTTTACTCAATCCATCTATTATTTCTGCATTTACTTACTATATCGTTAAAAATGTCCAATCAGACAAAGCGTGCCAAAATATCAGTCAGTTGTTCCTCAATTTTTTAAATTTGAAATTTAAAATTATTCTAAATAAGGTTAGACGCTCGAAAGTTTTCGACAACAATCTTCTCCGAAAAACTACAGCCGTTAGCATGACAACGCCGAAACAACCAATTTTGGGAGGGACATTTTGTGCGCATGCGCGAATGCATTTCAAACTCGCTTTCAACCAATAAGAACCTGCGACGTTCAACTATCAACATGGCCGCTGACAGTTCGTTATTTCGAGACTTTTCAGTTTGGCTGTGACATTAATCCGGTAGTATTTTCTCGATAGAGGGTTTGAGTGTGTGTAAATCGCTGATTAGAAGAAAATGACGCAAAGTTCAAGTTAGTGTGCGAAATATGGTGGCGTCATGTGAGATTTGACTGTATTTAACACCGATTATTGCTGCGTTTGTAAAAACAGACATATATTCCCCTAACTGTGACTCATAATGCGGGAATGCGTTCTGCGGCGGTTCACAAACGAAAATGGGACATACGAAATCCAGAAATATAACAGGGCGAAGATTAATTAAAGAAAATAGTCTAGGCGGCCGGCCGGTAACAAATTTAGATACACTTACCTACTGGGAATGGATACAAAAAATTACCATAGCAGTTTCGGACGCCTTTTGGGGTCATAACCCACGACCAGTTATTTTATTTAACCACGTATTTGTTCATAAATATGTGCATGAATTTTTATTTTTAACGTACAATCAAAACCAAGTTCTTAGATCTCCATTTTCAAAAATTAAAATCGTAACTATATATTTAACATAAAATTAGGAATTTGAACTCCTATTTTGATAGCATTTTAAATACCTTGGAAATTTAGAACGATAGAAGGACAAACTTACATATTTTACTCATTTATCTATTATTATCACTTGTCACGTGACATTTACGTTGTTTTTTTTGCATTTCCAACCTAACTTTTGAGTTTTTACTTGCATATTGTATGGTCCAGTTTACCTCTTACGATCTCCTACGATGCGTTGGGTTTTAAATAGCAAAAACTGGCTTGTTTAAGGACAAAGATCGGCAAATAGAAGCTCCTCACTTACTTACCTCTTTGGCTATCTGATCGAGCGCCTGGTCCTCAGCGGAAGACTTGACGGCGATGCGACGCCGACCACCGACGCCATCCATGGCGTCGCGACGAACACAACACCACCCCACGTAGACCACCACCTGACCGGACAAAACATTAATTACCACAAAAACCAGACGCGCACAAAAGGCACAGACCACAGTAAATGCAACCACCAAATTCTGTTATAAAAAAACACGGACCACAAAGCATATAAGACGATCACATCAAATAACACAACAATTACAAATGACGTTCAGTGACTCCGTTCTATCAAAAAATATATATCTTGCCCTGCCATGCGGTTTCAAATGAAACCCATAGCACATATTCAAAGATATGGACACATTTTACAGCTTATACCAAAATTTTGTTAAGAAATATGTGCAGAAATTCAAGAACTTGTCCGATTATACGTTTTTCGCATTTAATTTAAATAAATTTGCGCAAGTTGATTAGAATTTCCGTTTACCCAATTTGTGCAGATTTTCTAAACTATCTATCAATTTGCATTTCGCCAATTGAGAAATACTTCAATTTTAAATTATTGACATAGGTAACTATTTTTTAATGGTAAAACCCGAGGGATAGTTTTGGAAAACCATTTTCTTTGAGAGTTTACTATTTTCACATTCGTACTCAAATTTTCATGGTAGTTTGATTCAAGACATCACAAAATTTTTCGTTTTGCTTACAGACTCATCTCTGTATTAAATGACTTGAAAAATACATGAAATATAATAAAATTTTAAGGTTATTTGACTGGTTTTGATCTCCTAAGAATCCGGTTTGCGCTTGGGTTACTCACCATCCAAATAAACAAATATGTTACTTCATTTATTTGTTGTACGCTGTTTAATCATCACTTTCACATACCTACGGTATAAATAAACCGTGTGGGCAGAGCTTATTAGCAGATGAGTGTCACAAAACAACTAAAATTCCAACTAAATTTTTTCGGGGCCGTGGGATGGTTCTATTTTAGTATATTTAGAAACGAAATCTCCTGACTTGTGTAATCTATACCGTTTTCCTGACACCGAAAACGCGTATTCGCCACGCCGGTGAAATTACAAGAGTACGAAAAGTAAATATAAACACTCCCATTGCGGAAAATAAAAATAGCTAACCCATATTAAAAAGCAAAAGTATTTGATCGAGTTTCGAGAGAATGTGGAACGAAATATATCGTCTAATTAAATCGTGTATACGCGGAAATATTTTTGTTGTAATGGGACTTTGGATAAACAAATTGACTTGGTCTCGTTTGAGCAGGTGGGTGTGCTCTGAAAATTTGGCACACTGCCAGAAAACCACCTTAATACTCACTTTACTCGAAGAAGTCTCATTTAATATGGTCTCCCGATAATTGGTACATTTTTTCGTACGCCACTTTCGATAAGAAACTGCAAAATCGATGTTCCACCTTCTTTTCGAGGTTGGGAAGGGGTGCAATGGTTTGTTTAGTTGGCTACAAGTACTACACGCACCGTCGGATTTTACGTCACCAACATAAACTTCGTTAACACAAACAGCACGGAATATTTGCGGGACGCGACATTTCTGTCAAGAAAATATTCACCCGAGACAGAAATTTAGACATGTGTGACAAAGTGACGACATTCCATGTTCGATTCCCGAATAGCCTGTCAATACCAACCCAATCGGTTTTTTTCAACAATTCCCTACACGTGTCAATCACAGTACAACTCGTTCGAAAAATTTTGGTCAGTCGTCGTAATCAAATCTTTGAGACGGAGAAGCTATTCCTAAAAGTTTTTTAAGTTTTACTTAAAATATAGCTTGATTAAATTATTATTCTAATAAAATATTTTGTTTTCTTACTTCGGCTAGTTTTCGTTAACAGTTTGTGAGTGGAATTACGCGGTTCGTCGATAGATGGATATTTGTTTGAATACATAACCTCTACAAAATAATTATAACCTAAAACTAAATGATCATTTGCAGATAAGGTCTCCAATCATTTAATAAAGCAGTGCTTTTTTATTTTCTTGGCATTGCATTTTGCATTGTGCAAAGTTGATGACCATTATGAGTTCCAAGGTAATACTTAGTTCTAACAATTTTGTCTAATTGCTTTTTGATGTTATTTTGCTGCTCTTTTAGTTAGATAAAATAGTTAAAACTTACAAGTCACTGGCTCAAATACCAGCTTTAGCAGGAGCACAAATTTACCACTCCAACGTTATAAACACAGTATGGTCACAGAGGAATTTAGAAAAAGGGAAGTCAACAAAATTCAGCCGCACTCTGATATTAAATGGACATAATGTGGATGAAACATTTCCTTTGGATATTACTAGCGAGTGAGCGAAAGCCATAATTTTTGGATACATTTGTACAATTCCTTCACTTTGTTTTTAGAATTTTATCTATAATTTCTGAATCAAAAAATTTGAGGGCTGTTCTCAGGGAAAATGACACCAAACAGTTTCTGGAAATTTGGAAAAATAACAACCTTTTGCGCTGTGTGGATTTGGGTGGTTTAGATATTCACGGAAATGTGTATTCTGATGGTGACACATTAAAACTTATTTGAAAGTTTCATGATTCATGATGGGTTAATTTTTAGGAGAATTTGGTTCTTTTGAGTTTTCCCCAGATGAGAAAAAACTCTTGTATGTTGCCGAAAAGAAACCACCTAAGAGTGAACCCTTTTATAAACGCAAAAAACCTGAAGAAGATGGTAATGGTCCCAAACCTACTAAAGTAAAATTCCCACAACATTTTACACCATACAAGTTTGAAATTTTTCATGTTTTTAGGGAGATGAGTATGTGTTTGAGCAGGATTGGGGCGAACAATTGGTGGGAAAAAAGAAATCTGTTATTGCCCAATATGATATTGAAAATGACAGCGTTGAGATTTTGGATGGTATTCCAGACAACATCTGTATTGCCCAACCCAAATACTCACCTGATGGTTTGTACATTGCTGGTATAGCATATTTTACAGAACCTAGAAAATTGGGTCTTATTTACTGTGGGAACAGGGCCAGTACCATTTTTACCCTTGATTTTGAAGGCAATTATTGTAAGTACATGTTGATGATACAAAAGTTGTATTTGTTTATAAAGCAAAGACAGATTTAAAGGTGTTAGGAAAATATTCATCAAACTTTCTTCGTCGGAATCAAATGCTAAATGAAAAATAATTGTGATTTTTCTTTAATTGCTTTAAAAGTATCATCAGTTATTTGAACTTATTATATTGTGTTTATTTTAGTGGCCTTGTCTCTCAATAATAATTCAGTAAAAGCGCCGACATTTAGCCCTGATGGAAAAACGCTACTTTGGTTGCAGAGGTCTGCTGGTGGGCCTCATGCCTCCGGTATGGCTCTAGTCAAGGCAGATACTCCGCTATCTAAAGATGTGAGTAGGCATATTACTCTGAATTTTGCAATATTAGGTTTTATATTACATAATCCAGTCCCTAGTGAAGACGGTGGTGGATATAGTCCCTTCAAAAAAGAAGATAAGCGAGGATAAAGATTTTTATGGATTATATAACAGTGGCTTCCCAAAACGCTGCTGGGCTACCAAAAACAGATTATTATTAAATACAAATCAAAAATATACCATTAATTCTTATGTTGTTAATGTAGGTAAGTACGTTCTGTATATATTCCATTATTTTACCACAAAATTTATTCAAATATTTTCCAACGTCACATTACGCGATTTTTCATAGATAATGGTGAAATAACTGAATTGGAATTTGATGCGGGCAGCCAGTTGGTGATAGATGTTTCAAAGGACACGGTCTTAGCGTTGCGACGTAATTTTCTTCATCCCGATCAACTGGTAATCGGTAACTTACCAGACACAGGCTCTGAAAACCAGATTCAATGGCAAGATTTAACCCCGAAAACGAAAATTCCGGAGCTAAACGATTTGATTTACAAGTATTTGGATTTGAGCGCTCCCCACGGTAATGTCAGTAAGTTTTTACGCGGATTCAGTGCCAAAGTAGCGAATAATCGGTGCTCTAATTTCAGCTGAATTCAATTCGATTTATTTAGGGCCGAGTTCCGGGAACGAAAAGGAAATTCCGCTGGTGGTGTGGCCCCATGGTGGTCCGCATTCCGCGTTCGGCAATTACCTTTTCCTAGAAGCGGCCATGTTTTTATCTATGAGTGAGTGGGCAACTCGTAAACTAACATTTTCAGTTCTCTCATCTCCCTGTTTTAGAGTACGCCATTCTATTGGTAAACTATAGGGGCTCCCTGGGGTCCGGAGAAGACAGCGTTCAGTTTCTCCCAGGTAAAGTAGGTGTCGCTGATGTCGACGATTGCATTCAAGCTACCGATGCCGCGTTGAAGATGTTCCCGTGGTTAAATCCCGAGGGTTTGGTGTTGTGTGGTGGCTCTCACGGTGGTTTTTTAGTTACCATGCTTAGCGGTATGTTTCCCGACAAATTTAAGGCGGTCATCGCCAGGAATCCGGTGATTGACATTGCCTCAATGAGTATTACTTCTGATATACCCGATTGGTGAGTGGTCATCTGAGAAATGACTTATTTGTAGATAGTAGTTCAAATGTTGGAATGAATGAGTGAATGTGAATGTGAATTGAGGATGCAACAGCTTTAAGTGCCGTCATGACAGCAACGGCACGGATAAAAGTGAGGCAATAGAAAAAGACTGCTGTAGTAATGGGGGTTGTTGTCTTTCTTTTGCTTATTTATAAAAATGGGAGAATGGGGTGTTCTTGTTTGATCATTTTATTTACGTATATTTTCTCATTGAAGTATTTCATTTATATTTATGTTCCCAATAAATGAAAGAAGCTTAACCGAACACAACTTAAAATTAAAATTCAAAAATTATAGATAGATTTGTTTCCTTTTTTTCTTCGAACATAAACAAAACGCTATTCCATTTTTGTTCCTTTTTTTCAACTACGGATATACTCTCAAATGTTCCTCTCTCAACACAAGTAACTTAAGAATCGACAATTTTCGACAGTATTTTCTTTTTTCTCTCATTTCCTTAAAAATTGTCTGCTCCAATGTTTGCATTAGCATAAGGGTCAGAAACGTTTGTGTTTTCTGTTCCTATTATCCTATTTGCTAAAATTAACTTATTTAGTTTTTACTGTAATAGAATCATAATCTTATATATAAATATACTGCAAATAAAGCTTTTGTTTCTTATTTTCTGTCGATAATAGGTGCTACGTTGAAGCCGGCAAGGAGTATACGCAAAAAGGCGAGCTAGATGACGACTTGTTGCTGAAAATGCGCAGGATCTCACCCATATACCACGCCCACAAGGTAAAAGCGCCGACACTATTGCAGATCGGATCCAAAGATCTGAGGGTACCCGCTCAACAGGGCAACGAGTATTACTGCAGATTGAAGACCAACGGCGTGAATGTCAAGTAAGTTGTGCGCCTTAGCCGGTTAACTTTTGATGTAGAATTACTTACAATTAATTGCAGAATGAATCTGTACGATGACAATCATCCCTTAGGATCGGTGCCAAACGAAATTGACAATATCATAAATACGATTTTGTGGATAGAGGAGCACTTGGGGTTGGGTCAGTCACCCACCTCGTGAAAAAATAAAACTTTAAGGATAAACGTTTGTTTTACATAATAAATTACTACTCTATTGCATGTCAGGATCTTAAAAAATCTTTTTTTTTTTTCAAGGGAAATTTTGAAAATGTCAATGGATGGGCGTTTTAACTTGAAATCGTACTGATTTTGTCGTGTATCTCGTCGTTGATAGGTGAGAAATATTTTATTAATAATAGTTGTTTATTGTTTTACAACATCTATGGTATGAATGCATTTAAGAACAAGATTTTTGGGTGAACAAATTACACAGTACTATTTACTGTATTTTAAAAAACCATTTTTATTTTTTTTTTCACTTCTCTAGAGTGAAGAGAATTATAAAAAGAGAGAAACATTTTGAGTAAAAAAAAATCAACCTAGAAGCACCTCCGATTACCCCATTTATCGAAATATACAACTATAGGATAACCAGAGTTGTACTGTACTTTAATTTCAGATATGAAACAATCACAGATTTAGAAAAAGAATCTGGCTCAATTGCACTATCGAGATTCTGCACGGGTCCGGTAGTTCAAACGAACCGAGCGTGTTTCAAATTAACCGAGTTTCATCAAGTTTGAATTAAAAAAAACTCAATAGAATGTAGTAAAAATTCACCATATAACTGATAGATAAAACCTTTTGCCTTTTGTCAAAGTTAGGAAAATGCCAATAGAATTTTGTTGATGGTGGGAAATATTTTGACATTTGAACTACTCCTTTAAGAAATTAACGGGCTTTCCGAAAAACAAACACTTTCTCATAATTAGTTGTTTATTCTGTTACAACAAAATCTATAGTATGAATGAATTAAAGAACAATATTTTCTGTGAACAAATTACATAGGAGTACTATACTTAAAAAACTATTTTTATATCTTTTTTAAATGGAAATTAACGCAGTATTAAAACGTATGAAAATAAAAAACAATTTCACCTCCCTAGAAGGGTGAAAAAAACTATTCAGTGAGCATAAAAAGAGAGAAACTTTTTGAGTATCGTCGAAGCATTGAAAAAAACCCTTATTAAACAAATATTTAAAAAATGCAAATCTAGATACCGAAATTTTAAAAAAATCGACCTAGAATCACCTCCGATCATTTTTCCGACAAAAAAATTAATTTAAGATAACTGGGGTTAATTTAGAGATGCTAAAATCACAGATTAAAAATACGGGAATCGAATCGAGATTCCGCACGGGTCCGGTAGTTCAAATGAACGCACGCGCGTTTCGAGATTACTGGAGGTATGAGTAAACAAAAAAAGAAACGCCATATTCGAGATTCGACCGCGCGAACGTAAATACCTAAAAATGTAAATTTCCTTTTTACCCGTCTGACCCTTAACCATATAACTGATACGTTTGTCAGGATATCTATATTACAGTGACGTCACTTATATCGAAGTTTGACATCCAAAAAAACACAAGTTTATAGGGTTGTTTTTGTGTGATATTTAATTAATTATTTCTTATATTCGTCAATGATTGCTAGAAATACAAGTTAAGAGTATTTTAATGAAAATTCACATATAACCTAAAAAAATTAATAGCCCCGATAAGTTTTGAGAAAACTAATTATCAAACCTGATTATTTGTAAGTGCCCGAATATTGGTATCCCACATTTCAAGTTTAGTCTGATGGAAACAAGCAAATTTTTTAAAGATGATAGATTATATTTTCGCTTTCGTAATTTTGGTTGTTTCATTTCCAATTTTGATACTTACTTATTGATAAACGATTAGAAAGCGCACACAAAGTCAGACAACGCTAAAAACTTCGTTTAGTTTGGCTCCCTAACATTGAGAGTTAAAAATCAAAATGGCCGATGCCACGTCATCACCAGTATAAGGTATTAGTCGTGGTCGTCGTCCTTAGATGTGTACGGACCTGTCACCGTTTCCTCCGGAAGCGACCACCAGCAAATGCTTGGTGCTTGAGCCGCTGGTGTAGCTATCGGCGCTACTTTTGACGCTCGCGTGCGACATGGGCGTGCCCGGCAACCTCTGCGGAGTACTTTCCACCGACGAACTCGAATTGTTGCCCACGCACCCGTTCGATTCGTACAAAACCGCAGACGTCGGCTCGTCAGGTGTGTAATAGTCCGACTCATCTCCGCGTTCTACATGGACCATCGAAAAAAAAATTTATATATGGTTTCGATTCAATAATTTTTAAGTCGGTTTGCTTCTATTCGAATTACACTGATTACACTTATTGGTGATTTGCCGCTATTCAAAATCAGTCTTGGGAAAAGTCGACGAAAACAACAAACAATTAATTAATGACTGGTAAAACGTTTGAAAAGGAACTTAATTTGGTCCACAGAAATTATCTAAAACAATACAGGGTGTTTTAAAAAAACATGCGCCAACGCTCGACTGGAGAGTTGCCGTCCAAAAAAAAAAATATATTAAATTTCCAAGATACAGGTTGTTGAATATTATGAAAAAACGACTTTGCGCGAAAATCCCCTTAATTTTAGTAAAATTTAATTTAATTTAAAAAGGTTGTAATTTTCGTGGAATATTTAAAATCTATTTGTAAAAGTCGCTCACATCTCTTTGATAATAATATTCCTTAAGATACCTCTTGATACGGCACTGGACACAATTTTAATCTAGCAAAATTTACCCTTTATTATTATAAATGACATTGCTAAATTTCAACAAAATAGGACAAAAAAATATTTAACGTATTGTGAAAAAGCCGTTTTTTTTTTGAATATTTAAGACATTGACAATAAATTTTTCCGGACCTACATTGATATGAGCTTTGATTTTTGCAAATGCAAATAAATTTAATCTTAACGAAACCAAAACTAAATAATAAAAATGTAATACAGAACTTGATGAAGTGAACAAAATATTTGCAGATATTTTTTGTCGATCAATTTCCATATTAACATTTTCCACACAATCTAAGGAAAAAAAGACTGAAATAACGAATAACATACTTTTTTGATAATCGACTTCTGCCTGAAATTAAAAAAAAAACTAAAAATGTAATAGAGAACTTGATATAACCATGCAAAAAAGAGATAGATAAAATTAAAACATTTTTTTTGACACGCTTCTATTTAATATTAGATAATAACAAATTTAGGGCGGTGACAAGACGTTTTTGTTAATTGATCTTCGGCAAAATCGAAGGGCAAAACAAACACGCACAACAAATAGAAATAAAAAAAAATTGAACTAAGAAAAAATTCATTTAAATTTATTGACTATATACGATTATTACACTTTTTCGTGGATCTTCGACTTTGAACGAAATCGAAATGAAAAAAACAAACACGCAACAGAAAAACTATCGAAAACGATAGTTACCATATTTTCCGGACTTTTCAGACGGCGCGCACGCTGTCTCCTCCAAATCATTTTCGGGATCGTGATCGATGTGATCTACGACGTCGGCCATTCGAAGTGCCAGATTATTGGACCTGTCGTTTTTTTGCAACAGCGGTGACAATTTTTCGGCTTCGCTATCATCGTCTAGAATCTGCAAGGACACGAAAAGGGGTTCGGTACATTTGAACTATCCACTATTGGCAATTTTACAGCTCGATGAGACCTCTGGCGAGAAAAATGTTAACCTACTTTGATCTAATTTATTCTTTCTATTCTTATCTTTAAGTTATCGCTTCCTGCAAAGACCTAGTCAAAATAACTCTGATACAATTTTTCAAATTATCACCCAAAGATTAGAAAGTTCAAATATTCTTGAAATTTTCACTGCCAATCAGTCTAACAAATAGCTAACTAAATGAAATATTTTTTGATGGACTAAAAAACCATTGTGTTAATTGAAAATCACCTTCGAGAGTGGTGAGATTAAATTCTTATATTTGCATGTATGTGCTTGTCTTGAAAATGTATTAATGTTTTATGATGATCATTTCACAGTGAGAAACAATATTTTTCTACTTAAATAACTATAATAATTTTTCAATACTTTCTCAATATATTTAGTAGATTATCCTGCATCTTATGGTCTTAAATCAAATCTTATGTTCATATGGGATTCACCAAGGATTAAGACTAAAATGTAGCTGCCCAGAATTACCTAATGAATTAATATGATTTTTTTTCTAATTTCTAATCAATCCTAGATTAAACTCGTAAAAACAGTGATATTAAGCCAAATATAACTTGGTAAAACATAGCTCATTATTTCTTTGTAACTCAAGCTGGTTTTGAGATATTGACATGAAAGCTTAGAATCGGGAGTCTTTGGAGATGAGGAATGCAATTACAACTTATTTTTATACATAAAATGTGGAAGGCGTTAGTTACACTCTAAAATCTCCCTATTTTATGTTATAACTTTTTTGTTGCTCTTTTGCCAAGTAAAAAAGATAATCTACATTTGCATTGTAATACAGTAACCCGCACAAAATGTTACTTTATTTAATTGTTTTGTTTTTGACACTTCTTAACAGCATTTGACTATTCCTAGACGTGTACAATCTTGCTTCTATTTAGTTTATGTTTGGGCCACATTTTTATTTATTTCATATCTGTTATAGATCCCTAAATATGTAAATCTACTTTGGGCTACACTACACTATAATGATAATAATTTGTTTTATTTTAATCAGAGAATATTAAATTTATCTTCCACCTACACATTATAACTAAGTTGTAATTTATTTATTTTTTAACAAATTTATTATTTTTTACAAAAACGGACCCGCTGAAGCTTTGTTCGCAAGATTAAGAGATTTACCCACAGTGCGATACATTCGAACTACCCGTTACCTCTTCCTTTTCCGTTTCATTCACCATCTTCACAGAGTCCCTGGACCGATGCTTCGACCTTATTATCACTTCCTTGCCGTCCCGAAGGAGCGGACACTTTTGTGTTACTTTATTTTCGTCGTCAGTTTGACTGGACATCAGAACGGCTGAAGAAAAAAAAGGAGAACGCCCATTCACAAAAATTATTTACACGATATAACGCGAGGGATCAGTACTTTTACTGTATATGGGCGTGACCGGCTCGGATCCCCTCTTGGACGGGGGCGAAGTCCTGTCGCTCTGCCTGTTCAACACGTGGGCGGCTTGGATCGCGTGCTCGTTCTCGGGGGTCTCCACCAAATCTGGCATCGCGGATGGAGGCTGCCTAGGAAGACATGGACCGTTCAGAGCTTCTATTAGCGAAACGGCCTCGTACCCTGGCGGAATGTTGTCGCAACTACCCTGCAATAAAAGATACGAAATTAAAATACATGAAAAACCACAATTATATTATATAACGCGCGCCTATGAAACGGATATTTAACGCACTAGGGGTTTACGTGGAAGTTAATGTCATTGATACTCTAGTAATAAACAGGTAAAACAGGCAGATTTGAAAAATACTAAAAAATAGGGGCAATTTTGGGTTGTTTACATGGAAAAATTTAGACAGGGTGTTAAACCGCAGCGTAAATTGTAAAGCAATCCAGGTTGCTTTATTATTTTAAATGGAATGAACACCTTATATTTTCCTTCCTTCAAATTTCATTTAAGATATAACAGAACACCGCAAAATTGACAAATTCTCACAGGCAGATTTTTTAAAGTAACTCAGGACCTAAAAGAAAGTTATTTCCTTCACATAATGCATAAAAATTATTATTATTTAAGGTACACTCCTATTGCTTAAGGTGCTGTCAGAAAAACTGAGTGGGAACTTTATGAAATTTTCGAGTTGTTGTTTGTTGCGGTTGTGGTGTGCGTAACCTTATGGAAATGATGCTTGAGAACCAAATATTTGATACACTAGATGATTTATGTAGAAGTTAGTGTCGTTGGTACATTTGAACTACTCGGCATAAACAAGTAATCTTGTGTGAATTTTAAAAACAAAAAAAAACAGTTGTGGTACACCAGCTTTAAGTTTTTGAAAAAACTTATAAAGGTTGTCATATCGCAATTTATTTCCATCATATCAAAAAAGTAAATAGAAATTGTACAACTTATATATTTTATATATTAAATATTGCACAGCTTACATTGATTTATATTTTTAAATTCGGCTGAAAATTCCGCTTCAAATTTGTATAAGTTATGGTATTCTTTGAAGTATTTAAGTTTCGTTTGAAATGTTTGGTTCTGTTCGCTATTTAATTTTTTGTTCTAAAAATGTTCAAAGTCAATCTGAGAAGCTTTTGATATCAAGCTTTTTTTATATTTCTGAGTTTCATAGAATTATATCTAATTACGTCAGGTGGATTAATTGGTGCCAAACTGGGATTAGAACATTTCTGCAATGCCCTGATCTGCAAGAGAGCACGGAAAGGCGCCCTGCATATGGGGCAATTGTTCGCCTGGTAGCGCAACGAATCTGCGCAGGAGTTGCACAAGCACAGGTGCCTGCACGGCAGGATTAACGTGTCTCTGACGTCACACATACATATGACGCATTCGGATCCGTTGTCCTCTATCTCGTCATCGCCGCTAGCCTATAACATCACCGTAAAATTAATGCGTAAAACCAATGGTGAAGCTTATCTCTACCTTTTCGCTATTTTTATTTTCGATTCCGTATATTTCCTGCAACAAGTAACACAGTCCGTCGACGAAGAGCTTCTGTTTCAATGCCTTGAGAACGTAAGTACCGTCGGTTATCTTTTCGACAGTGGCTATGGTCGCGTGTGACTGCCTCATATCTTTAAATAATTCAAGAATAACGGAAAAATCGTAACGCAATTGAAAATTACCTTCGGGTCCTTCTTGGGCAACGCAATGTATGACGATTGGAATAACGTCATTGTCGATATCAAACAGCAATTCGTCTTCGCTAAACTTGGCCGGGTTGAAAACGTGAGTCGGTTGGCAGAACTGTTGATTGGCGCCCCGCTTATAGTGGAACGTTTCGGAAGACAACAGCGGATCGCGAGGAACATAACTGTCGCGATGGGATAAAATGAAAACCGTTTTTTTTTTTTTTTGATAGAACGAAACTTAAGAAATGATCATTATATTTTCACACCCACCTACAGGGTTAATTTTGAAAAGCAGAAAAAAACGTGTCAATACAAAAGTTTGAAAAAACAAACGACGCTCGTAAGCTGTCAAAATGATAGCAACATCATTTTTTTAAAATGGAATGCCCTATATATTATTAGCTTAAATCGTAGATCTTTTTCCTGATTGCAAAAACATATAGTTTATTGGCATTTCATTTAGCCGTTTTTGAGATATTTCAGTTTTAAAATAATTATCATTATATTTCTGGACAACAGCCACATTGTTTAAAAATGGTCTAGTCTGCCTTGATAGCAACCATATTATCTATGTTCGCAATTGTTTTAACCATGTTGTACTTTTCACAACTAATCAAAACTAAAGATCTGCAGCATAAGATATTATTAAGATGTTTCAAATGGGTTGTACTTAGGAAGAAAAATGTCAATTAATAAAATTATATTATTTATCGGACATAATTTTGCAAGACCAGACCAGACTTTCAAGGTAAATTATTAAACTTTCTTAATTTTTATATTTCATATTTTTTAGAAAATCCTGACTATTCTATATCTGACGTAAAAAATTACCCCGAAAGTCTTATAGTAAAATTCAATGAACGCCATTTCAGCCATATAAGTTCCTTTCAGTGCAAAATTTAACTGATGAAATGTATAGAAGATCTAAGGAGACGGAAATTTTCTAAACAAAATAATATTTATGTGTGAGGCTTCGTTCATAACAGCAGGTGTAGTTAATAGAAAGAATAAACATTTTTGGTCCACCAATGCACAGTTAATCTATGGTGTGATATGTTGAACAATATGGTGGTCGGACCAATTATATGTGAAGGATCCTTGAATGGCCAACGATATTGAAGTTTCCTTGCAACAGAAATAGAACAGTTGTTAGAAAATGTACCAGTTGCGAATTATTTTAATTTAATTTGCCATCAAGATGGCGCACCTCCACATCATGTCCAACCGGTTACCGATTATCTGAATAATAAATATAGACTTTGGATAGGTAGGCAAGGAACTTTCAAATGACCTGCCAACAGCCCCGACCCGAATCCTTGTGACATTTTTTTTTATAATATTTTATATATATAATTTATTATAATAAACCTGAAAGTTTACAAGTGATAACAGAAAGACTTAATATCGTTTAACAAGATGTAAACAGAGGAAACACTGCTTTTGTCACCTGGTGTATTAATAGGAAATTGAAAGGAAATATTGGCAGATGTATAGAAAATAATGGAGGTTATGTTAATTATTGATATTTTTATTGTTATTGATATTCTTATTGTAGGAAATAAGTCAAGGAGTGGATACTGCAAAGTAACTTCAATATCAGTTTTAGAATTTAAAAATACTTCCTAATGGGAGTTTCTAAAATTTTGGAGCTTTACTATTTTTTTTAATTTCACATTTATGAGTGTTGTTTTACTATTGCTAGTCTTTTGGCAGATCTACCTTAATGATAAAATTAATCAGAAAGAAAAAAGGTCGCGTGATAGAGTAGTAGTCTAGATAGGGTAACTTAGAGCAATACTTTTCAACATTATGTAATTTATGTTAATTGCATTATGTATTATATTATATTATGTTACTGGTACCACTAATAAATAAAAAAATAATAAACCAACAATAATTACCTCACACCAGAGGCAGATATTTCTTCTGTACAGAAATAGTAAATAGTGATTGCGCATCTTACATCGCAGTCGAAGGTAAACTCTACATTAAAGCAAGTGTTGGTTCCCAATTCCAAACTCCTATTGTCTGATTTCTCATTGCTTATTTTGTTATATTCACTAGAAACCCTCACGAATCTGAGCGATTCTTTGCGAATATTTACCAAACACTTTAGCGTTTTCGTCGGCTCGCTGGGCTGAGGCGGCGGATACGGGAACTAAAAACGTTGAATTAATAACGGTAAACATTTTCCAAAACCAGGCTTACTGGTGTTGGGCGGCTACCGAGAAAGTTTAAATCGGAATTCTCTCCAAACAAATACGACTCGGGCTGTGGGGTGTCGAATCTCTCGCCGCCCATGATAAAGTGACTTCCGAAATAATTTCCTGAAAACGGTAACCCGAGCTTGGAATCGCGAAGGAAAAATCAAATTTTTACCTGATCTAGGGGGGTATTTGTACGCGTGACTCGTGTTGACGTCGACTTCTTCCACGCCGTCACGCTGCCTGGTAGACAGCAAAGCCCCCATTGTCGGCGTTATTGGTAAACAAATGTTTAGACAAGGTCCTGTTTTTTGCACAGGTGATCAGCTGTGCAGTTGTCAATTATATCAGAGTATAAGCATCTCTGAATATAATACGTAGCATGGACCACAGATGTTACGATCTACAGTTCACAGCATTGGGCTAGTTCAGCACAACAGGGTTGCAAGTAATCACTAAACAACCTGACTTTGTTATTTCTCAACATAAAGGGTTCGCCTGAACAGCATGTTTGGCGTAGACTCGTTTTTGGAATAAAAGTGTCTCGCTTTTTTTTTTGAGAGAATCATTCCATTTCTGTTCACACAATTAATAAGTTATGAAGAATGAACTCAAATTTGTGAAAAACTGGCCAGATCTGTTCTATCACAATCATGATAATTCAACATAACCACAAAAAAATCCCGATGAGTAAAGGAATGATAATTTCCTTAAAAAGTAACTTTGGCATCGTTCAGCATATATTTCTGATGCATCACTAAACAGTTGTGCATGGCTGGACAAAGCAGTTGAGGATCAACATAGGATCTCGGTCAAACATTTATTTACACTTAATCCAAATTTCTAGCAATTTGGTAATAGACAGATTGTAATATTTTACATTGTGTCTACATTGCTTAAACGTGATTTAAGATTGTAATGTATTTATGTAATTTAAAAATAATTGTTTTATTGATGAAGGGCGCACTTTAAGGTTAGAAATTTCGTGCAAGTAAAAAAAATCTGAACCAGACTTTCTGGATAATTTGCAATAAAATACGCATTCTCACTCGCAAGACATGCATTTTCTGGTCAATTTTTTAGGTCAAGTTGATAACGTCAAATATTTTTGAATTACTTCCCGTTTCTTTGGATATTGCATAGTTGCAAATATTCCCTGATGGATTGAACAAAAAAATCATTTCACCAAAAAAACGTTTATTAAGCTGTTTACGCAGCTAAAAGGTCTTCCTGGACTTTCTTCCAGTTGGCCAGAGGCCCATGCTCAGGTCTGTACTGCACGTTGCAACCATCGGGAGCCAGTCGACCCTGTCCCTTCAAATCTTCATAGACTTCGCGCTCATATTTCGTGAAGCCCCATTTCTTGGACACGTAAATCTTCTGACGACCAGGAAACTTGAACTTTGCACGGCGGAGGGCCTCGATCACTTGGGCCTTGAATCGGTCACTAGATCGCACACTCATAATCGGTTGACCGATGTGCACGCGCGCCACTGTCCCTTGCGGCTTACCAAACGCACCCCTCATTCCCGTCTGGAGCCTGTGGACAATTTAATAACATTAAAAATATGCCCAAATTTGGTTAAAAAAAACACAAAAACAAAAAATTATTTAAAAGTTGAAGAAATTCTTATTGATGAAAGTGTCTCCTTCATTTTAGTGAGCTGCACTTGATGAAAAGCAAATGAGCTTGTGGAATACAGGAGTTCAATGTACGCCCCACTTGACACCCAGTTATCCATGGATTTTAGACAGACCGGGTAACACTGGGGCGATAAATATTTTGTACATTGTACATCAAACATAGCAAAAATGTTTTCTACTTTTAGTGAGTTACATATGACAAAACACATGTACTTGTGGAATTAGAATAATTTTCTATGTCCCTCTCGCCATCTGTCTTTACAAACCAGCATTGCAAATCATATGTATTAGCGACGGGACAACACAAAACGAAATTAATGTACACCAATTAAGCACTTACCTATCAGCTCCAGCACAGGACAACATCTTATTGATCCTAATAACATGGAAAGGATGCAGCCTCATGCGGATGTGGAATTGATCCTTACCGCAGTTTTTCACTAAATATTTGTTGCAGCAAATACGGCCTGCTTCTAGCGCTTCTGAGCTAAGCTGTTCGTATTCGTCCGACACTAGATGGACGCATAACGGGAAATCTTCTACAGTTGCCTTTTTCTTGCCTAAATCAAATATGCGAATCTTCGGATCAGGCACACCACGGCAGAACCGAGATTTGGGGTAAGGTTTGTTCTTACAATATCTATAACTGAATAGTAAATTAGATCGATTTACATCGTCGAAACGCTCTAAAACACGTACCATCTTGCTGGGCGGCGACCCATCTCGGCCTGAAATAATCGTTAAGATTTATGCAGAAAATATTAACACACCATAATACAATAAGTTTTCAATTACAAAATGCAAAAACAATGATACAAATGATTAAAGGATCGATGAGATATTTACAAAATACAAACCTCCCTTTCCTGCACTAGCCACAAAATATTATTGAAGAAGGCCGAAGTTAGGTGATTCTTCTTCTTTTAGCATAGAAAAACAGAGCGTCTTCTTACCCATGGGCACAGGTATTGAATTGTATTTGTATAAAAATTAATATAATTTAACAATAAAAAAACAAAAATGGATTGATTTAATTAATAAATTAATCAATGAACAAAAATTATATGGCTGCAATAGATTTTGCACAATTTTGGTTGACAGCCAAACAAAAAGAGCTTTAAGAATATGTCATCTACATGCAAAAAATTATTTCTTAACTAAATTTTTTTCAGATAATTAGTCTTTCTAATTCGTTTTTGGCAAAATGGTAATACGTCCTATTATAATATTGCGATAAACAGGCAACAATGTCAAAGACCACTGAAAAAACACCGCGTTGAGTACGAAATATATGCCGGTATTTTCTTTGCCATCAGTATAGATATATGTACGAGCAGGAAAAGGTAAATTCGATCGTTGGAATTTGTTATTTAACCGGCTTAAAGTTTAGCGTTTGCTATTGTTTTTCGAGTGTACAAACTTTTACGCAAGTAGTTTTGTGAATAATGTCAAGTCCACGGTGTCAGGGTGATCCAGTTTTCAAGATTGGATTATGGCGTCCATGGACGAACGAAACATCGAATGGTCTGTACCCGAAAAGTTGCGTAAAACGTATTATATTGTAATATTTCAGTAACTCGGACTTTTTGAACTCTTCTCTCAATAATTTCAATATGACCGTCTATAATTTTAAATTGAACCAGCCATCCCTTTACCTTGTGATAACATTATTTGCTCATTATTAAAATAACCTAAATTGGAAGTCCTTTAGAAAAGCACAGAACAAGAATTATGTTTTTTCCCAATTCCATTCTTGCCTTGTGCTCCATTTATAAATGATAAAAATTACTGATATTTTGAATATATTGTTATGCCTCTTGAATATTACCAATTTTTTTAATTTGTCGTTCTTTAAATACTTATAATTTTTGCACAATTTCCTAAGTATTGCCTTGGCACAGTATTAACTAACAATAACTTTGTTAATTCTATGCCATTTGATGGCTTGTTTTTATTTTATTTTTAGCGTTCTAATATCTAGAGTTAATGCTGTCCCATTGTTTGTAAACAGTAAAAGTGAGGAAGTATGATTGGGTTTGAAAAAGTAACCAATTCCCACATGAACGTAAAAAATGGTATGGGGTTACAATTTTCCCGCCAATGGAAGTCTCCCTCAAATTGTGAGGCTAATAATTTTAAATCAAATATTTATTCGGATCCGTTATTGACTCCCTGCTATGTGAAACTTGAAAGGCTTAGTGACGAATATATCAAAGCAATGACAGAAAGATATGATGATGAAAGTGATCTGTTACGGTATGCCTAACATGATGATATCTTGACTTGCAAAGTACATTGCGTTGTTTCAGGTTAGTGAGAGTTTCTCCGGAACCGACAATACCCACTTTAGGAAAGGCACAAAATACAAAACGGGCAGGCGTTATCATGAAATGTGCGCGTTGTCCATTCAGAACTAAAAACAAAACCAATTTTTTGTTACACATCAAGAGAATAAATTATAGTTGTCCATTGTGTCCCTTCAAAGCAAATTTGAAGTGTGCTATTTTCGAACACCACCATTCTTCAACACTCAAGCTACAAAAGGAAAATGGCCTACAAATGCCCACATATTTTTGTGATTTTTGTCGGTACTTTTGTAAAGATGGGGAGCAATTGTTGTCGCATTTAAAGACTCATAAGACGACCATCTTCAGTAGCACCTACTCTTGTAGCTATTGTGATTTTAAAGCTTGTTCAAAATCTAAATTGAAAGATCACTATGTTTATAGCCACAAGATGCTTTTTAGTAATATAAGATTTGCTTGTGATAAAATTAACAGGTAAGGTGTCTTCTTTGCCTCCATTATAGAACAATGATTAGGTTATTGTAAGATTTCGTTATTCAGTCAGTCAGTGGGCTGCATATCATGTTATGTTAATTACTTATAATTGATTATGATTAGGTTTAAAAATATTAAATGAATGCGTATGTCATCCCATATGGCACATAGACCACAAACTGTCATTGGCATGCAAAACCTCAACACACTTGCCAACCTTAGATATCTATTAGAAATGATTCTATTATGCTTTGATTTTTGTTTAGCTGACAATTTCTTTGACTGTTGGTAATGCTAAAAAATATCACCTGTGATAAAAAAGTCTGATGTGAAGAGGTTTTCTTTCCTTATAGGTCTTCGTCAGATGTTGATCCAGATATTTTACATAAGATTAAAGATGAAGCAAGTATGGAAGATCAGCAAGAAATTATTAGAATTAAATTCACAGACAGTCTAGTCGTTTTGAGGTGAGCTAATATAAACTAACTTTTTTAAACCATTACACCTTTTTTTTTATCTAATCATAGTACACTTTATTGGGAAATAGGACAAGCATATAAAAGTAATGTAAAGGCGTTTCTAAAAATTTTAAAAATACAATGTGAAAAAATATAAATGTTAAATTAAACTCTTGAATAAATTGTTTGTTCTGTTGTGGTTAATGAAAAAGTGTAATTATATTTTTAGTGTTGTCCAAATTAAAAAAAAAAAGGGTTTTTTTTGTTACATATTTTTAGGATAAACCGGATATTTGTGGTAAATCAGCAAACTGGCCCAACTGGCAAAACCGAAATCATTATGGATGTTAGGCAGAAACAATTGGACGAAAACCAAGCCTTGGAATGTGACATAATCAAAGAGACCTCATATTTGATTAACTCTATGCCGGAGGCCCCGCGGTAAGGTTGCTATTAGGGAAAATTAAAAAGGAGTCAGGATGTGCCATTTCAAATGTAGATGCTGCCACTTTTTTAGAGAAGTGGCAACGTCGCATTGTTTACATGATATATGTTGTATTAATATTAATATTGCTTTTTTAATTTAATTTATTTTTAGGCGCTCTTCCTATAGAGTTTAGTAAGTATGGTAAGGGTGGTAAGTTTTGTATGGGTTTATTTATATAAACAAAAAAGTTCACTCAGAACACACACTTGAAGCGGGCCCATTATCAGTAGAGTATTACAAATGAAAGAAAATGGAATATTAGTAGTACAGAAATTTTAGATTTTAAGAAAAGGCGCAATATAATCAAATAATAAGTGCGCGGTTGTAAAAATTCTATTGCTGATATGCTTCTTAATAGCACATTAATTAATATGAATTACAATCAACTTTGACAATGCTATATATTCTCATACATTGTATAATGGCAGAGTTAGAAAGATAATTAGTCTTCACCGGTCATTTTTTTCAAAAACAAAGCCCATTTTAATGGCATTATGTTTCTCGTTAAAAAAATGGCGATTTTTCATAAGGTTGTCGATTTGAAAATATTAGCAATACAACGTTTTTTTTTTTCATTGTAAAACTGCTATGACTACGAAACATGGCAAAACAAACAATTGAGAACTACAAAAACGTCACTATTCTGGCTTTCCGTGAGTCTGGAAATAAATGTTTGACAGTTTTATGCCACCTAACTTAATTATTCCTTTATAGTTAGGATTATTTTAATTCAACAAAGGAGTCTCAAGTCTATAAATGGTTGTTCTAAAATAAAAATTTTCTTTACCACAATCAGAAAATATTATAAAAAATTATATAAAAATATATATCTTTTATATAATAGTTTAATATTACATTTGTAATTTTTGCATTAATTTTTAAAAGAGTGTTTTCGTGGATCCATCTGGATATTTTTCAGCAAATTTTTTTCATCAAATTTTTCCCCTTTTAGACATTAAACAAATTTGAAAACTTTTGTGGTAACTTATTTATTATTTATAAAATTTATAAAAAAAATTGTCAAACAACAGTAAACATTAGGTGCGACTTCCTTAGTACTCTATATTTTTTTCTGCCATGTTTCGCCCTTACCTTCTTGGCCAATTATTAGCCATTTAGCATAGTTAAAATGGAAGAACGTTTTATTGCTATTATTTCAAAATCTACAACTTTTTGAGATTGTGATTTTTTAAGGCAATAAAATTATAAAAATGAGGTGTTTCCATTTGAAAAACATTGCCTTTAACCACTTTTTCAGCAAATCCCAAAATATATCACAAATGCCTTAATATACAGGGTGTTCTTTTTATAATAAGTATATATAAAAGTATAAATAAATTGAACGAACTTTTTTGTTTAAGTTTTTTGAAGTTTTTTACAGATCGTGATATTAGCCTCTATATGGATTGGAACAATAGGGCTCCAAAATAACTCCTATATCTTTAACCACGTTTCCTGGATCTTTAAATACGTTAACACGTTTTAACGATATATGATACGATGTTTATGAACAGAACAGAGCCGCAAATTAATACGTTCGTTGACGTCACGAGGCGTCGTTATTTTTAATTTGCAATTATTTTGGTTAGCCATTATTTTAGGTTCTGTGTTGGGACATATTTCCTGACTCCTTTTTTATATTCCACGGCTCGACGGCCAGTTTTTAAGTTTTACCTACATTTCTAGGGTACCACAGATCGACACCGACGTTTCGCGCGTCACGCAACCGCCATCAGGTAGCGACCGAACTACCTTGCCGATAAAGGGCGAGGACAATTTAAGCCAGGAAAATTGGTACCAGTGCAAATATCATTGCTCCTTTAAGACACCTTCCAACGAAACGTTCCTGAATCACACCAAGCCCGTGTATTTCAAATGCCCAAAATGTCTGTTCTCGACCAAGATTCGATGCGACGTCTCACGTCACATGAAGTCGCATCTGGAAAAGGATCTCAAGTGTGAACTGTGCAAGTACCAGGCCCATACGACCACCGCTCTAAAGGAGCACGTCGCGTTGCACGACAGCAATCTGGAGACGCCGGTGTTCATGTGCGGCCTGTGCGACTACTTGTGCATGGAAAAAGAGACTCTTTTGGAGCACTCTGGGAACGCCCACTTGTCGTCGGTCGCGACCGACAGGATATTTTGCGGCTACTGCAAGTATGAGACGTCGTCCGAGGACAGCTTGACCGATCACTACGTCGAAGTGCATAATTTCGTGCAGCAACTCATGTTGAAAAGGTAACCAAGGGTTATATGTAGGTAGACTGCTACAAATTGGTTCACCAACAAATTTGTACAGTGTAACGATAGAGAGATGGATCCTTTATTGACCACTTTTTCCTTAAAAAAATAATACAACTGTGCAAGTGATGTACAGATAAAAATATAGAAAATGTGAAATGTAAAAGAGTGACAGTGCCATACACGAGACTATTAGCATACTCTATCATGATTGTGGGATCCATGTACTCTTGCACCAAGTAGAAACAGTGTTCTCGAAGGAGCTTTTTTACTTATATTTAAATTTTTTGTGCCTTAACATTTGATAGTAGAATTTCTTTGGCATTTAGTATACTTAAACTTCTTGTTGCAAAGGAAGTCACTTTGTCGGGTGAAATAATCCGTGTATTTTACTTTAAATCTGATTAAACTTATATAATATTCTATTCAATTTTTTCTTAACATAAATTACTTAAATAAAATATAAAATCAACAAGTAATGCAAGTATAAATAAAATGTATACTTAGGGTCAAACGCTTTTTGTTTTTAACTTTTTTTCTTCAGTACCGTACTTGAGATAATATATAGGAGGGTCTTAAATTGACCACCCTATACATTACTTTACCTACTATGTAGTACACGAGACATTTAATATACAAATTTTGTAGCGGCTCTATTTTTCCAAGAGCGATATGTCCCTAATTAGACTATACCTTACTTACAATTGAGAAGTAAATTATTTAACTCGGCAACAAACTGCTCAGTGTAACCACGTTAAACACTTTTTATAAAACTTCTGTATTCCTTCTGCGCCGGTTTTTGTTGACTCATCCCGCAAATCATTCAGTCGGTTTCTTCGAAGCTTGACTGAAACTGGCTCGTATTTTACTCTGTACCTGCTTATATATTGTTTGAGGGCGGAGGAGCTAAATGAAGGATATAAACACCCTCTCGGATGACTGATTCCCATATTGGTGACAGGTAGAGACCTGAGTCGCGGTTAAGATTGTTAGGTTATTTATAGATGTCTATAGACTCTCGGATTTTTCGTTGGTAAAACAAATGATTACATGCAAGAATTTTAGTTTTATGGAATCAAATTTTATGACCGGTTTCGTGATTGTGCTGATGAGTTTATTTTGCTTAGTCTTAAGGCTCTTTCATGTTCTTTGAGCCTAGTTGATATTTTCATCCAATCTCTCCAATGTACTCTTTGCCGCATATGCATGGAATGCTGTAAACTCCTGGTATCTCAAATTGTTGAGAGATTTTTAGACAAGTGGTGAATCTGGTTTTGGCGTTATATTTCTTTAGAACTTTTAATATGTGGTCGGCGATGTTTTGAATATAAGGAAGGGACAACAGTGGCAAATGTGGGATTGCTTTTGGTTTCATTGCTATAGTCTATAGAAATCTATAAGCAACGTAACAATCATTACCACGACTCACCAATATGGGAATCAGTCATCCGAGATGCTGTTTATGCCCCACATTTAGCTCCGCCGCTCTCAAACAATATAAAGGCAGACTAAAATGCGAGCCAGTTTCAGTCAAGCTCTGAAGAAGCCAACAGGATGATTAACGAAACGTCAGCAACTTTTATAAAAAGTATTACAGTGGCCTGTGAAAGTTTCTTTGAAAAAGTCACGTCAACCTCATTAAAGTCTCTTATTTATTACACACCCGACGTACGGCAAGCGTTTATCCTATAAGCAATCTCAAAAGCCGCTGGAACACATCCAAGTTTTCTTACAGGCGACTGGCGGAAATGCAGTACCTCAGGGACGCGAAGAAAAAACGCAACATCGCCAAAAGAGGCGGCAACGTCGCGGAAATTAAAAAAGAAGCGACGCGCGTTATATTGAAACGGACGCGGTATAAATGCGAGCATTGCGATTACGCGACGATCGACCGGCTGAGATTCAACAAGCACAATTTCAAGCACCACAAAAAGGTACTCGCCAAAGTGTACAAGTGCTCGAAATGTCCGTACGACACCGTGAATCACATCTCGATGCGCAGGCATTACACGTTCAAGCACAAAACGAAAAGGGGCGGGTCCGGCGAAACGTTAGAGTGCGACATTTGCGGTTTCACGTGTAAAGATGCCGCGTTGATGGAGGTGCATTCGTCGAAACACAAGAACGTCGACGAGGTGAAGATATACAGTTGCGACAGGTGCAGTTTCGAGACGATATTTAAAAATCACATGCAAAAACATAAGAAGGTACACGACGGGTCGACACCCGACGGGGAGGAGAACGTTTTGAAGTGTTTGAAGTGTAACTTCCGAACGGAGCGGCAGTTTGAGCTGATTGCTCACAACTTCACGCATATACTCGAGAAATGCAGCAACAAGGCGAACAAGGGGGCGTGAACGCGAGGGGGACTTTTTTTAAATTGTATAATGAGACTTTTAAATATATTACGTTATTCGCTCGTTTGGTCTTCTTTGGTGGTCTTTGTCACATAATATTTTTCCTCTTCAATTTGTTTATAGTGTTTTTGTCGTTTTAATTCCCTAAAAATGTCTTTCTATATTTTTTTTGAAAACTTTGTATTTATTCACAGCTACGTGGAGTGTCAAACTTTGCAATTAAATATTTTTTTACCGAAATGTGTGCCACTGTGATTTTTGCGCTCTCTTGCTTGGACGACATATCTTTATAATTATGATCGTTTCCAATTTGAAGTGCAATATTTAAAAAAATCAGCTTAACCATTTTATGTTTGAAATGACAGGGGGTTGATATTTTATATAACCTTAAATAAAGCTATATTAAAAATGCATAACCGAAATCCAGGTTTTCCAAAACCTGCGGTTGTCATGGTTTTTCGGAATATGTATATTAAACAAACGCGAACAAAAATAGGAATAATTTCGAATTTAATAAACGAACTTTTGAAGCCACCACGAACAAAATAATTTCAAATCACCCTGTAATTACAGCTGACAGTTCGTCAGTTTTTCAGTTTCATTATTGGCAGTATTTTTTCAGGAAACGCCCAGATGGTTTTAAATATTCAGGGAAAAACGAATTTTGTTTTAAACAAAAATTATATTGAAATAAAAATAGCATTGGTTAATCTATTATTTTTCTTATGGAGGATTATTTCAATTCAATCCTCTGTAATTCTGCATAATACGTTTTGGTAATATATTTTTATACATTTGGAGAACATCCACACTTTTGAAACAATATTTTCTCCTTTTACAAGTCAAAGCTATGCCTAGAGATTTTACGAATAAAAGCAGCAGATAAAAAAATAGTTATTTATAAACTTATGGCAAAAAATGTTTCGTTTTGGAGATACATGGTTTTTTCTTATTTCTAAAAAACTTTTCTTGATTTTGCTTCAAATTTGGTAGTTATAATAATTATAATTAAATTGATAAAATTGAGTCATTCTAATTTCTTTAATTGTTATGTAATTGAAAGCGAATTTTAAATAGCGCGATTTTTCTTAATTTAATTTAATTTGCAGATATTAGGTGCACATGTAAGTTTTTTTTTATTGAAAACGGTCTGTTTGGCGAAAAAACTAAAGAGACCATTTTTGTTTAGAATTGATCAACGCATTTAAATTTATTGCATTGCCCTATCAATTTTTTTATTATTTAAGCTAACTAAAACGGTCTGACGAACACCACTCGTTACACAAAAACAAGTTATGTATGCTATAAATTTGTTTTTAAGTGGCAATACCCACCTACTAAGTTTTAAAGGAAAATCTAGATTTTTTAAAATAAATAAAACGAGAAACCAAGCATTGTGGACATAAGTTTGTATGAACTTTTGTCCTTATTTATATATTGTGTTTACACAAAGTCTCTAATTTAACTCATAACACCTTTCTCCTTGTATTCCAAAGGAACCAACCTCACTTGCAATGAAATATTTACGCCGAATCCACCCGTACTTCAAGTTACTTGGGACCCCACTGTTGCCAAGTGAATTTATATGTGGCCTTTGTCACATCAAAACATTACTTTTTCTATGAAAAAAAAATTAAAAAAACAGTGCACTACATTAAGGCCGATTTAAAACAATATTCAGTGTTAATTTACAAATGCTATTTTAACAGCTTGTAGAGTTGTTCAGCCAATTTTTACGAAAATTCTAAGTAGTGGCAACAATGGCAAACTCTAACCTAGACTTTATGACTTATTTAAAAACCCAGGGCCATAAGGGCGTGAATTGCTAGTCTTTAAAAATAAGGCGAGAAAGCATTGAACCTTATGGACGGCTTCATACACCTGGCCCGTTCGTGCAGGTAAAAGAAGGTATGAAATGACAAACTAGCCTTTTGTTTGCTGTACTTCCTTTCGGTTTTGGTATATTTGCATACCTAAGTAGGTAGGGTCTCGGAATTATGTACAGAAGGTTTGCTTGAGGGCAAGTGTTTTTAAAAGCCATTTTGCGATTGGTAAGTTCAGTTTTATTAAAACAATTAAATAGGTAAGTTGTGTTTAAGTAAGTAGTTCGTTATTTTGTATTTTATGACCCTTATTATTGTTTGATATACTTCTTTTGAAAAAACTTTTTAATTAACCAAAAACGAAATTTTTCATTTTTCTTTTTAATTTAGAAATTTTTAACACCTCTTGGGTGACAAAATGACGGTAAATGGCGAACCTCAAACTATACACCACAACAGATGTGTCCCAGATCTACCTCCTTCACCTGTTAAAAGGGAACCTGAACCTTTACCTCCAATATCCAAAAAACTTTTACCCATTGCTGGGTTTTTTGTGGCCTTTGCAACTGTGATGACCGTCCTAATACTCTACATGGATAATACAGGTAAACAACATTTCACTGCCAACATAACGTGTTTTTTGCCCAAGGACGCTTTTTAATAATTCAAAACGTTTTTAGCCATGAAACACTACCAATTTACGTTAAATTTGAACAAAGACATAGAACTAAATGATATAGCACAAGATGATCCACAACTTATTGTTTATTTGAAGCAAGTTGCCCTTTCTCCGGCCATAGAGCCCCATCACAAGCCCCTGCAGCCTCAAACTGGAATCTCATATGATACTGAATATGTCCTAAAATTGCTTAATAATAAGGTAAGTGAATGAATACTGTGTAGTGTTTTATGTCTTAGAAATGAAGTCTGCCCAAATGTTTGGAATTATGAATATCTGATTATTTTGTCATTCTGTTGATTTATTAGCAGACCTTAACTTATTTTTTATGTTGCAACTTGCATTATATTTCTTTTGCGTGAGCATAGAAAAATACTTGTAAGAATGTCATATGTTAATTGCCAAAGATCTGATAACATGGCCATTCCATCTATGTGAATCTTGATATTGGTTAGTTTGGGTTAGTTTTTACCATTATTTCCGTTGATACTAGAAAGACGGCGTATTCGTGGAAGCCGGCGCTTATAGCGACGGTAAAACGTCTAAAACAGAAGCTCTCGAGCGCAAATACAACTGGAAGGGGCTCCTAATCCAGCCAGATCCTCGTCACTATTTCAATCTGAGAAGGCACAACCGAGTGAGATCGCAAGCGGTTCATGCTTGTTTAAGTCCGATGCCTTATCCGAGAGAAGTGACCTTACATCAAGAGACTGACGGTGTAAAAATTAACAGCGTCTATTCGAACAGTCTCGAGGATCCCGACTGGCTCGTGACACGAGTCAAATGCTTCCCCATCTACTCTTTATTGCTCGCAATGAACGTTACATCGGTGGATTACTTTAGTTTGCAGTCTGAGGGTACTGAACTTCAGGTTAGTAAAGACTTTCTGACAGGAATGGAATAATTAGTTCTAACCTCAAATCATTAAATTCTCATAAATAGCAATAAAACCTAACCTATCCCCTGCAACATTAGGCTATTTATTTACTGTATTGTTACGTCACTGAAGAAGAAAAAAATTACTTGATGGCTTTGCAGGTTTTGGAGACTATTCCATTCGATAGGGTGAAAATTGAAGTCATAGGTGTGCATTTGTTGACCAACGATTCGGAAAAGAGTACAATAAAGAAGTTTTTGTCCACAAAGCAGTTTACGTTGATGGACACTTTTAATAACACTTATATTTACATGATCAATAGGGTGAAGATTTAATGTAAGCAACTGAAAGTGCTAGAAAGACTGAGTCGCGCAAAGTTTGCATTGTAACCGCACCGTTCAATTATTATTAAAAAACATTGAGACTTATTAGTTTAAAAGCTTCGAACAAAGAATCATTCCTAAACCTTTTACTTGAACGTTTTCAGCAGTGTATCGTTTTTGGTTTTTTTTTTTTTGAAGCCATATTATTCAAAAAAATATACCACCACCAATTCCCCAATTAAAATCGTATATACGAAAATGTTTAGGGCTCTAGTAGAGCGTCGTTATTTATATTTAGTGCCTTGTGTAGCTAGCGTGTAGGTCCAAATGTAAACGTTAGCAATTACATTCCCGATATTTGTTATTACTTGCATCAAGCCTCCTAGTATCTATTTTTTATTTCGACCTTTGTAATATTATTTTTTTATGAACATTAATAAATAAACATTTTCCTAATTTTTGCGTTTTCTGTTTGGAACGAAAATGAGTCATGTAATCTCAAAATAGTTTAAAAATTTTTGCTCATTAGCGGTTCGATTAGCTTTTGGTTTTTTTTCATGCCATATATATTTTGCGTGAAAGATATTTCTGCTTTTTTTTTATGTAACTAATATCAAACTTGCCGCAGTAGATTATCAGGTCGCATGAAACGCCGGAATATCGGTCATAAATCCTAATAAATCAAACTTTGAATTATAGGACGCAGTACGTCATTCATTGTATTTAGGGGGAATAAGAGCAAAAGTTGGTTTGTCATAAACGGTCATAGCTCGATGTTGTGTTTCGCACTAAATTAAAAGAAAACAGGCGCGCGCATAAGCGGAAAATAAATGAAACTTTCTGGGTGCAATCTCGTGTCATTATCATCACTGAATAAAAAAAGTTAAGAAATTTGCGTTGTGGTCTAAATAAAACTTGCGCAAGTCGGATTAGACAGTTTGTAAAAACGTTTCGTCAAATTTTCTATTTCTAAAAGGAAAACAAACAAAAATATATCGATATTCAAATTTATATGAAATAAACATTATTTTGGGTGATATCTTTCAAAGTAAAGACAATCACAGAACACCAATATGCGAATTTATTTTACTGACCTAAAGGCGTTACACCTGCCAACTCTACTTGGCGTTGTTTGTTTGCATTTGATTCGCACCTGCGTATTGTGACGTCAGGAAAAGGACCTTTAGAAAGTTTGTTAAATTGGGTAGTCGCCTCAAAAAAAGACGTGAGCTCGTTGCAATAACAAAGAAAAATGAAAATACTGCATAATGGCTCTAAGGTCATTGCCTGCTTTGAATATTCACAGATCTACTAGAGAAATAGAACTTTGAAAAACATTTTGGGCATACACGATATTTAAAATCTCACTTTTGGCCAATCACCTTGCGGCATTTATCAACCGACCTGGCCATTGACAGATAGTCAATGAGTTTGATTTTCATGGGAGTGTTTTCTGCGTTAAATTAAAAAAAGAAATAGATGCGCACCATTAGCGGGAAATAAATAAAATACATTTCGCCAAACACTGAGTTTAATTTATGTCTTCAAATCCTATGCGACTACACGTGCGCATTATAAAACAGTGGGCTGGTGCATAAAGGCGTAATGTAAATAAATCAAAAACAAAATATTTGCCAACGATATCGTGCTGCAAATCAAAAACCGCATCGCTGGTACCGGGATGGTTCCGAAACACACCAGAACTAACCTCAAAGTACTGGAGCCGCCGAAGAACGTTAAGCACCAGAAAAAAATGTTACTATGCTCTTGATAAAACAGAAAAGATACAAGTAAGGTAAGTATATGGCCATAGAGACTATATCCAACTAGTGATACTGTTTCATAAATGTCGATTGTCGATCTGCCCAGTTTCAATGATACGAAACATAGAATTGGCATCAACGTCGAGAAAACCAGTACCAACTGTATCGGAGAACCGTGTTCATTAAATTGCTTAAGAGAATGACCGTAAAGGAGCAAACAGGTCAAAAGTACCAAAGCTAAAATTGGTCCTAAAAAGTCGACATATACTTTTCGATATTTTTTTAACAACGGCGGCACAAAAGACGCGAATATCCGAAACAGGATTTCACGAGGAGGCACTGCGAACAAATTTACATGATAGAACTGTTTTAATGAAGGCCTGTTCCGGTAATTATCGTGGGACCCTATAAAAATTATAGAATTTGACATTTCCTGGTTTATTTTAGTCTATTGTTTCATTTTCCTTTGCAAATTCTCTTGAGTTTGCTTTATCTGTTTCTGGAAGTTCTCCGCGATATCTCTCATAAGGGTTTTGAACTGTTCCGGCGTTAGCTTTTCGTGCAAACGGTTCTCTTCAATAAAATTTTTGCCATGAAACATTACGCGCACCACAAGTTGAGCGGCCCTGCGCATGGGATAAGACTCACTGAGTTTTTGAACTAGGTGCTCATTATTTGCCAAGTATCTTATTAAAAATCTAAATACCATCCTACTTTAAGGTTTCTGGAATTCAAAGGGGTACATGTATCGGTACTTTTGCAAGAGCTCTTGTTTCAACTTTAATTGTGTTTTAAGCGCTTCTAAATGATTCAGTTGCTGTTCTTTGCTAAACTCAATGCCCGGGAGTAGCCGAATCTACAAAAAATCAAATACAACGTAAACTTAATATTAAAATATTAATCAAGAAAATATGTACATCAGCCCTGGCCTGATCCAGTCGCCTCTGAAGCTCCAAAACCTTCTGGGCGCAATCTTGTGACTCTCTGGTTTTAGCTGTGTTATCGTGATGATCCTTTTCCACACTGAAATAAAATATGTTAAATAAATAGTTGTCATAAAATTTATCACTTACGCAATTCAAATCAGACAGTTTGTAAAAACGTTCCGTCAAATTTTCTATTTTTAAAAAGGAAAACAAAACCTAACCCATACCAACCTGCGGATAATTTCATAGACTACGGGTAATATTTCGATATTTAAATCCGATTCCATCTCATATCGCACATATAAAATCTGAACACTTACAATTTACACTAAAAATAAAACAATTTGGACTTTGGAAACCACCTTCCAAACTGGTTACATGCACAGAACACTTCTTCTTTTTGCTTTGACGCGTGCATTTTACCGCGGACAATAGCTCATTGACGAGGAAAATTTTCATTCCGGTCACAGATCGACGCAGATATAACGTTTTTTTTTCGGATCTTTACTGGGACAGCTGCTCAGTTTTTTAACTATCAACAAGCAAATTAGGCAATTTTTGCTTGCCGTCAAAGTAAAAAAAAGTAAATTGGTTAAAAACGAGGTTGTAATTTTACGCATGCGCATGCTATAGTGAAATTCCTTTTGTTTTTCACAGTTGCTTCATAAGTTTCTATATTATCGGCATTAGGCAGGGTCTCTATATCTCTAGTAGCTATATGCATCGAGCCTATCCCGCCTCCAATCAACTGGCAACACTTATACCTCCAAAACGTACGCAAAACTTACAAAACACCAATACTCAGTTTAGATCGATATCAATACATCTGAGACGAATATAAGTTTATTGTTCACTACAAAATTAAACACAGCACACCAATATTAGAAGTTTATCTTTACTAACCTAAAATTTTAATAATTTGAATTTAAAATACTTTGTAATGGCTCTGATGCAATTGTCTGTTTAGATTCTATTGCAATGAAATAAGCAAAATTTATTTGCATGTATATTGCGTTGCATAAGGACTTCTGTGCATTCAGAACTATCCCATGTTGTACGTTTGTCAAAAATATTTACTGCTGAAATGTTAAGTTTATTTTGATTTTTTACTATCTCTATTTCAGACTATGAGCGTATCTAACTAAACTAACCAAAACTCCGTTCTCTGAGACAAAAAGAAATCCCTAACCTAGCACAATAAAGCCGCGTAGCAAGTCAGCGCGCGAGAGAAACTTGAAAATACCCAAAAGTAGGTTATAAGATTATATAACCGAAAACCACTGAGAACACGCGTATTCCGATATTATGTGGAATAATAATGGCGAAAATCGAGCCAAGGTCGTACGGCAAAAGTTCTTTCACTTGTGACACTGAATTTCACTTGTGCAATGCACAAATGTTCGGACTTGGCGAAAAAATTTAACCAAAAGTTAAATTTTGTCTATTTTGGGACGTTGTTTGAAAATTAAAAAATTGTACTACACCGAAAAAAAACTTGACAGAGGCGCTTGTCATGGAAGGGATTCCCAGACTTCCACGGAATTGAATGCAAAAAAAGTAAACTGATGCCTAATTCAATTCCTGCTTGCGTAGCCATTCTTTTTGTAAATTATTGCAAATTATGGTCGACATTAATTGTAACTTTTTATATTAATTGCGCCACATTCAAGGGAGTCATTATGACCGGGCACATCGCGTTGTACGCGTCATGCAGAAAAAGTGTTAGAATGTTGATTCGCAGTTTTTTTTAACATATCAACCTTATGATTTCCTTGATATAGTCATAGAATATTTCCGGGTGTATTTAGTTGGCAACATTTGAGATCGGACAAACAGAAGCATAAACAAGCAAACTTGAAAATTATTTCTATTGATTATAATTAACTGCCGGACATCCCAAACGAGAAATAAAAAATTGAGAGACTTCTAATCTCTTCTATGTTCCATGTACCTGGTTAATGGGCTCAAGTACTGCAATAAAAAAGAAGATCTAGTTAGATCTGTACAAAATGCTCCTCACCATTCAATCCTCCTGAAATATACTGTTTCTTGGACTAAACTCTATATGCCAGTTAGGCCCAGTAATTGGTACCACTGTACCCGGAAAGTATGTGAAATTTCACACCTACATTCGGATACGACATATTTTGGTCCATTTGAACTCGACATGTCTCATTAATAACGCAACACGCTGTATAATTACTGGAACCCTAATTATTTTGAATTAATTTATGAGTTCGGTTCCACCGTCCGACACAATTGACGCTTTATGGTTTGCAATTGTTTTACTTACGCGCGATTCTCGCAAAACGTAACGCGCCATTAAATTCATAAATAATATAGTTGGGGACGTCATTTGCCGAAAAAAAAAAACAACGAAATTATCAAAAAAAAAAAGATGAACTTCGCTTGCTTCGATATACAATTATACGTTTCCTGGTATTTAAAACGATCGACATAATTTATAACGAAGAAACAAACAATTAGACGCGCTGAATTACGAAGAAATTATCACCTCGCATATAAACATTATTAGTAATAATTGATGGTGGCAATTGCGACCGCGGAAACACGAGCCAAACGTCTGAATCTGTCTGGAAGCAAACGCAAGAAATTTTCGCTGTGTTGTTTAATTTCTACATTCTATGAACCTTCAAAGTTCCGTCGTCTGTTGTTCAATCCAATATTCAATAAAAATGATTCCTTCTTAAGAAATGCGCAATGAACCCCTTAGATGAGCAGTTGGTGTGGTTATTAAATAATTATAATCAGGCAACCTTCTTGAGATCAAAGAAAACCACAGCCGTCAGCGTTGAAGAAATTGTTGAGGCCGAACTCCTTGTTTTGCAAATTCTTTATTATTGTTATTGATTTAAAGGAACAAAAATTACAATCAAAACTTCATTTTTTGACGTTGCGTAATTGTGTGTATAATGTGTTGCAGATCTAAGAACGACCCTTATTGATGGCATCGTGCTTACTTTAAACTTGACGTACGGTTTCCGCTTGGACTAACAGCGAACAATGCAACGTTACTAATCGGCCAATTATGCAGCCCCGTTATTATTATTTGGAAACGCATTTTCTCGACACGTGAAAACTTTTTATTTGTACAATAATTTAGAAACCGCCCAATTTGGTAATTTATTGGGCAATCCCGAGGATGCCGCACGAAATAAATACATTTAAATTTCAAATCCTCTCTCACAGAACAGAGGAGACGGTATTATTGATAAATGTGGTTATTGGCTATTGCCTTGCATCACTTATTACAACATATGCCTATTTGTTGCTTGCCAAGTTTGCGCGCTATTTATAATAGGAAGGAGTAATTTCTAACTATTTCTTTTGTGACATATCCACGACAATATGAATAAATTGAAGTTCTTCGTAAATTTATTCACAAAATAGAACTTGTTCTAGTCTTCGTCAATGTTTTGGCAACTGTGGAAATATATCAACAAGAAATACAATTTCATTAAGTTACTTGCAGAAATTCGGCCTTAAAAGTGTCATATATCTATTACTTTACATACTTTTAGTAGGAAGGAAATAGTGGACTGTGGATACAGTGGATTTGGACTGCTAAATGTAATTCGGACAGCTTAAACATTTAAATGGAACGAAGTAAAGGCCAAAGAATAAAAAGAAGAAATTTAATTTAGTACCAGGCCGATACTTTGCCAAATCCAAATTAGCCACATCGAAGGGTTTGGTTTCAACAGAATTGCAAACGAGGCGGAATTTTGCTCGACCTGACAGTGGATTCGTAGAAGGGAATTAATAGAATGGCCTGCAAGACCACCGGATATTTCTCCACTGGATCAATTGAAAATTAGGGACGAAATATTGCAAATTGCAAACACATTAAGAACCAGAAGGCTGGCATGGGAGGGCACGTAATTAGAGCGGTGAACAGGGGTATCGGAATAGTTTATGTATATAGTTTTTACATATATAATATAGAGAGAGATCTAAAGATGATGGATATAAAGCTCTGAGCGGGAAATAGAACCAGATGGAATGCTTTGTGGATGAGGCCAAAAACTCAAAGTGTTGTTCGACCATGTTAAGTGGAATAAACTTCCAAATAATTAGTCATAAAATGAAGATTCATCCAGCGGCTCCACAGATCCATTCATCCGGCCTGGGTACCAGCGTGCGTGTGAGATATCCGGAAACCGAACAATACACAATGCAAATCCTTAGACATCCGCATAAAACGAGCACTAATTCGAAAAACTATAGGCACTAAGCCCCAAGGATTCAATTAACGAATATACTAATCAAGATATTTAATTAAACGACACAAATTTGAACCAAAATTTAATTTAATTGGAACTGGACAGGAGCAAATGTACGCCATGTGCAATAGTTTCTTTTATTCCTCAATGGATATGGTTCTAATTACGATAGTATCGTTCCAAAACAAAAAAATATTCAAACATAACCTCTAAATTGTTGAAGTGTTGACATTTGGAGAGTTGGTATAAATGGACGAAGTTTGAACCCTTTAAAACCAGTAGGCGTAGACAAGAACTCTCATAAATGTCACGATGCCATTCAATTTTCAGGTTAAGTGTAAAATTTTCTAGCTTAAAAAATGAATGAGATAGTAAAAAAGACAATATGAGTAGTCGCGAATGATAATTTGTTTGTTGCTTTCGGTTTTCAAAGCCGTTTTGGTCCGTTTGAGCATGTAGCGAGACATCCCCCGATCGTCAGTTGTTTGGCAATGTTTATCGCATTTGATTGCCCCGAAATAATGTATTTTTTCGCGTCCATGCTCCAATTATTTTTATCGCTTCTGCGATGGCCGCATACAATTTCTATATCGCATTGTAAACTGTTATATAACGCGTTCGATTGCCTCAAGAAAAGTGACAGCTTCTTTCGTTATATCCAGATAATAGTCGCTTTTCACAATTGAATGTTGTAGGGTGATTAAAAGTTTCTATGATACTCATTTTATCAATTTTATCTATCATTAAGAAAAATGTGTTTTTTTCTTACTTCCTGCTCTACCATACTAAGCTGTATGAGCTCCTTTAAACACTGCCGCGTGTCACTTCAGATGCTTCTGGTACTTTAGTCACGGTGCTGATCGTATTTTCTTTGTCAGTTCTGGTGGTCGTCAAATTCAGACCCTCGTTTATCATATGTCGTTTATCACATCTATTGGATAATGTGCTATTAAAAATTAATTGACTTTTCAAAGTGGTAAGATCACATCAATTTTTTTAAATTTTCGATAATTTTTTTAGAAAATTAATGGAAACACTGTTG